CACCTCAACCACAGGACGGACAGGTTTTCAGACTTTACCGGCAATATTCTGATAAAAAGACTTTATTTTCACTTCATTTGTTAATATTCTGAGAAAATTCAAAGATTAAAATACAATTTATGAGACTAAAGTCAAAATTCTGAGAAGTGACAGGAAGAAACACTTTGACTCACTTGCTCTGTTAGCGCCTCAGACAGCAGACGGATAGCTTTAGCTTTAGCCTCAGCTATGGCTAACACGGCCTGGGCTTCACCTGCAGGAAACAAACACCAGCTTAAGATAACATGAAGGTTTCATCCAGTAAACAGACGGTGACCAAACCCACCGGCTGCCTTATTGATGTGCTCTGCCTTCTCTCCCTCTGAGGCCAGAATCTGAGCTTGTTTCCGACCCTCAGCCACGTTGATGGCCGACTCCCTCGTCCCTTCAGACTCCAGGACCGTGGCTCTCTTCTTACGCTCAGCCTCCACCTTCACAAAGTTAATGACATCAACTGGTGTTTCTGTGATGGTTGTACTGGTACAACTAAAAAAAAATTGATGTTCTATTGCTTAAAGGTATAAGATTTCACAGAAAGTAACAAGTTAAAATCAAACAACTGGGAAATGCAAACTTTACACCCCAAAAAAATCTGACCTGTGCCACATACTTTCATATCAGGACTAAAGGAGACAGAAAAAAGGAGCTAATTTCTACTAAAAACTTTTCTAGAAAACATTTTTGACTTTTCAAACTCAAAACATTCAAAGTTTTTTTATAGAACATTTCTGAGCGTAATCATAAAAGTGAAAAAAAATTGAATTTTGTAATCTTTCTGATTTTCAAAAGTGAAACTTCTTTTTACTTTTGAAACAAAGACATATACTTGTTTTTCTAGAGCATTTCTGAGATTAATCTCTTGGAATTCCTCACTTCAAATCAGGACAATCTGCTGCTGGCCACGCCCCCAAACCGGATGCTAAGTCAACAACTAAACAATTGTTGTTTTCCAGGAACCACAGTACAGAGGTAAAACCAACTCACCAAACCACCTGGAGCTCAGCTTGGGTTGCTAGGTAACAGCTGGAACTGTGCTGTGGGGTTGCTAGGTAACGGTCAGAACTGTGCTGTGGGGTTGCTAGGTAACGGTCAGAACTGTGCTGTGGGGTTGCTAGGTAACGGTGCAGTGCCAGTTGAATGTGACTTAACATTCAGAAGGTTTTTGAAACGACTCATTTCCCAGATAAATCATGAACTTGTTGCCAGAGAAATAGAAACTCAAATGGAAGAATAAAAACATCCACAGTGTGACCCGGTCCATGACTCCCACCTGCATCTGCATGGACTCTTTGACCCGCGGCGGGACGCTGATGTCTTTGATTTCGTAGCGCAGGCAGCGGATCCCCCACTCGTCCGACGCCTGGTTGATGGAGTGGACGATGTTGGAGTTCAGCGACTCTCGCTCCTTTTGGATCAAACGGACAGACGGTGATTAAAACTCTCCACAGGGAAACACCCGGAGGGACAAGAGACGCTGCTGGGATTTACCCGGAAAACCTTGTCCAGGGTCAGCTTCCCCAGCTCGGAGCGCATGGTGGTCTGGGCGAGCTGCGTGACGGCGTACTCCGGGTCCTCCACGCCGTAGCTGGCCTGAAAGCAGCGCACCGTCACTTTAAGATCACCTTAAAACGGCCGCTAACAGCCTGCAGCCGTACCTTAAATGGGTCCAGGATCCGCAGGTAGAGCACACCGTCGATCTGCAGCGTGACGTTATCTAGGAGGGTGAGAAATGTGGTTAGATGCTTTTATTTTGAAATGATGGGAGCGTAAACTTGGTTAGAAGCTTTTATTTTGAAGTGATGCTCACCCAGAGAGACGGCGGATTGCTCCGGGACGTCGATCACGATCTCCTTCAGGCTCTGGACGTAGCGCACTCTGTCCAGCACCGGGATGAGGAAGTTCAGACCCTGCAGGGAAAAACAGAGAGAGAGGAGGTAAAGCACATGGAGAGATGGGTCAAAGGTCACGATCTGTAGAGATTTACAGAGACATGGTAAATGACTCAGGCAGAAAACTAAAAAAAATATTCTGATAGTTTGTGGTTAAACTTTTCAGAATCAATCTTCATCTAAGTTTATTTTAAATGAACAACAGATTCACAGAAAGAGAGAAGGAAAAAGGAAGAGAAGAAGGAATGAAGGAAGAAGGAAAAGAACAGATGAAGGAAGAGATGGATAGAAGGGAAGGAAGAAAAAAAGCTGGAATATTATTGCATCTTCATCCAGACCAGTAAAATTAATAAAGTCTAACAGGGTCCAGTTGGGAGCGTTTCCATGGTTACGGGCGGTTCTTACGGGTTCCAGGATGCGGTGGTACCGGCCCATCCTCTCCACCACCCAGGCCTCCTGCTGGGGAACGAACAGAACCACCGTGTTCATGGGCAGACTGGAGGCCCAGCGCTGCTGGACCGGACCGAACCGCTGGCTCTGCTGCAGGCGGAAAGACACACACACACACACACACACACACATTGAGTAAAGTACAACAGATTACTGTAATTATAACGTGTTAAATAATTTCTATGATTATCAGTTAATCTCCAGTCCGTCTGTCAACAAAATTGGTAATTTTTTCTGTAAATGGTCATATAATATTATATTTTCTTTGTCTGTTTTAATTCTTCTGTCTTTGTTGTTGCTCTCTTGTTCTGGTTGCCATGGCTACGACTCCATTAACCAAAACGTGTCCTCTTTTTGTCCCTTCCCACATTTTGCCATTTCTCCCCTTCCTAAAGGCATTTTGTGAACATTAAAAACAGAAATAAATAAATCATACACGTCTGATACAAAGCATTATTTAGCAACATGATCTACTCCAGAAATCTGCTATATTATGAATCCATATTAATGTATAGGAAATAATATGAAATCAGGTACGAACTGCTTCACGGAGCCAGCAGCGCCATGTTTTCAGGTTGTTTGGCAAAGAAATGTGTGTAAACTTCATATTTGAGGCAAGTCGTCTCTATTAGGAAAATGCTAATTACTTTGGTGATCCTAATTGACCATCTGCTCTCAGGTGTGTATGGACGCTCCTGCGTTACAAGTAAGGAAATTACGTCAGACAATTTGGACAAACAGGCAAACTTCTCAAAACAGCAACACAATAAAAACAATTTTCAAATGTATTAGTGGTAAATAAAATAAAAACCGCTTGTAATAAAATCAAATTTCGACTCTAAAAATAAATAAAAATCAACCAATATTTTATGTTTACACTAGCTTGTTCCAGACCCACAGGTGTAGAGTAACATTTGGTTTAATTTTAACTGACGTCTACACGCTGAATGACGTCTGGTGGCACGAGCTAACAAGCCGAAGAAAACCGACACTGACCTGCAAAATGGCGCCGCCTCTCCGACACAACGTCCGTAGCATTCTGCTTATTTATGAAATGTAGTTCTTAGTTGTTACTTTGACAGCTCCAGCTTTGTGATCCGGTCTGCAAACGAGCTCACGGCTCATGTGGATGACCCTCTTCTAGGAGGAAATGAAAGTTACATCAGTGGTGCAGTACTGAAAAGTCCGTCTACGCTGGAAACAGAAACCGGGCGAGAGTAGTTCCGCTTTGATAAATAATGGAACAGGTTTTATATTGTGCGAGGAAAGTGCGTTTTAGTATTTCTTTTTGCTCATTTTCAATTTTAAATTAATGTATAAAGAAAACATCTGCTAAACATATGTTTTTTTTAATTTTCTTTAAAATATATGTAACAAAATCAAGTAATAAAATAATAGTAGCTCTAACACGCAAATTGTCTGATTGTTATTGTAAAAAATATAAAATTAAAAATATTTATTGCTATTTCCCTGTGTGTTGCATCACGCACCACTATTAATTTATAATTTTGAAAATATATTTTCTCAATTTGGTTTAATACAAATGTAATGATAGAATAGTCTCACTAGGCGGTGCTGTTTGTTAATTGTTAATTAAATATTAATTCAATAAGCCCCTTGTTTTCCTTCCCTGTCTGCTACTAAATCAAACTTAATGTTTAATGTTTCAGATCAGTTTGGGATTCCATCATCCTTTATTTATTTTATCTAAACGCCCAACTACAAGAGATTTTTAAAATAAACTTTTTTCTTTCCCTAGATATATGTGTTTGTGTACTTTTTTAAAGTTTACTTCTCTGGGTGTCAGATCAGGACTTTGTGATGGTCATTCAGAAACGTCCTTATTTTTCTCTAAGCCATTTTTTTAATTTAGCAGACCAATTTGTCCCAAAACTTTAACTTTCTGACTGATGTCTTGAGATCTTGCTTCAGTATTTCCACATAATATTCTCTTCTTATGATGGAATCCATGATGTGAAGGGCACCAGTTCTTCTTCCTGCAGCAAAACAGTCCCACATCATGATGCTACCACTACTGGACTTCACAGTATGGGGATGCTACTCTGCTTTTCTCCTGGTGTCAACTTCCTATTTTTTTCATTTTCTGCCTCTTTTGACAAATTTTCTTTAGGTTTTTTTTTTCCCATGGTGTCACACAAGGAAGTAGGTGTTCAATAAAATATTTCCCCAGTTGTTTCTCCATTTAGCTCATTTCAGATTCCAAAATAGTTTATTTTATCGTATTTTATAGTATGTAAACTCTTCAATTACACTCTGATGTTTAGTGAATAATATAACTGTCAATTCTAACTGACCTGCAACAGGAAAGGTTCATTTTGATTTCATGTTTAAAAATATCTGTGTAAAACATACAACTAAGTATGACAAAAATATATAAATAATACAGTAATATAGTAGTATGTAGAACTGGACCAAACGCAAATTAATAAAAAAAATTAATTATAATTTGGGTTATTTCATTGTTAGGTCAGGAAAGCGTCACGTGTTCCCTCCTCCCTCTCTCTTCACCGATTGGTGGAAAGCTTAAAAACGCCCCGCCCTCCAGCTGCAGCGCTCCTTCTGATTGGTCCGCTGTGACGCCAGTAACAGGTGTCCTCTCCTCCTCCTTTTAGGCGCTCTGTCGAGCTTTTCCATCCGAGTGGAAAGCTGGGATGAGAGTTTTAATAATGGCGTGGACACAGCGGGGAGCAGCTGCTCTTTACTCCCCGTCCGGTGCCGGCCAGAAACCTGCGAGCGTCGAAAAACGGATTTTACTGGAGCTTTGAGAGCATTTTTACGGATTTTATTATGTTACCTCACTGAAAGTAAATCTCCGCTGAGAGCCTCAAACTGTGAAACTACCTGCTGCTTGTCGCTGGAAGCGCTTTGTCATGTCGTTACTGTGTGTCAGAGGTAGGTCTTTGCTTTTTACATCGACTTTAAGTGAGTTTCGTGTAACTGATGGCGGAAAATCATCGTCCCTCATAGAGTAACTTCAAAATTAAGTGTATCAAGCACAAAAAGTGCTACAATCCTATAAATCTATTATTTGTTTAATACATATTTGTTTTAATAAGTGCAATACACAAATAATATTGCATCTTAAAGTATTTAAGGATCAATTTGTATTTCCTTTGAAGTATGGCATGCCAAAAGTGCCTTAGTTTCACAAATAATAACTGCCACAAATGTATTGAATCAATCAAATAATCAAAAGCCAAAATTAAGAATAAGAATTTGATTTCATGACATTATCAAATGATGTAATCTTAGTAGTTATTTTATCTGTATTATGATCAAATATGGAGTGCCAAAAGTGCCTCAGTTTAACAAAAATAATATTTAAGTCAAAATTAAGAATAAGAATTTGATTTTGTGATATTATAAAGTCGTGTAATTTTAATAGTTATTTTTACATATACTGTGATGTTTTTATGGAGTTCCAGAATTGCCTCAATTTAACTAAAAATAATATTTAGGTAATATAGTAGTTTAAATATGCCCCAAATGTATTAAATTGCAATCAAATATTTAAAAGTGAAAATGAAGACTAAACCTTGGGTTTCATTACATTGTAAAATCATTTATAATTTCAGTAGTTATTTTATTCGCATTTGTGATTGCTACAATATAACAAATTAAGAAATAATTAAGTAATAGTTTTGGATTAATGGGAAATAAATACATTTGATAAAAATTGTATAAGTAAACTAGCATCTGATTGGTTAATCTGCTCATCAAGTTGACTTTAGATCAATTATAATTACATGAGTTGTGTTGGCTTTGATAGGTAGTCTAATTTATTTAAATATTTTTTATTGCAGTTAAAAGTTAATTATTATGGTGCTGTGGTGGCACAGGGGCTTGGCACAACCCATGTATTGAGGCCTTAGTCCTCATGCCGGTTGTTGCAGGTTCGATTCCCGGCCTGGTGCATTTGCCGCATGTCTTCCTCGTCCCTCATTACCCTCTTTCCTGTCAAAGGCAACTATAGCCAACAAAAAAATTAATTATTGTAGATTTTATGAAATTTTTGTATAGTTCTTGCCAAATTTAAGTAATAACAAACAAAAACAAATGTAAAAAAATATTTTATTTAATTAAGGTACATTTATATCTCCATAGTAACAGTTAATCAACGTGGCTTCTTAAACATCCTCCTAATATCTGATTGGTGAACATCGTCTAACGCAAAAATGATGACTTTATTAATTTAATATGAAAATACACATTGTATTTAATAAACTTATGCTAGTTCCTAAAAAATTGTATTTTAGGTTGAATTTTCCAGTTTTGCCGTTTAGTTTTTGTGAACAGTAAAACTTAAATGGTTGTAAAAATAATTATGACATGGTGCCTCTGAAGAGTCTGTTGACCCAGTTTTAACTTATCGGAGCAACAGCTGCTTGAAGCTTAATTACGTTTTTATTGTTCGTTTACATTGAGATACGACAAACATATGAGAGGAAACCCTTAGAGATTAAAATGGGAAGGGAGGATCCTGCTCCGCCATCTTTACATTAGTAATCTTATGTAATTTCTAATTCTGTGAAGCGGTTTGACCCGGTGATGCTAACAGAGCAGGAGTGAATAAACTGCAAAGCCCAAAACCAACAACTGGACCTCCGTGATGAGAAAACCTGCTGACCGGAAAAAAACTCAAGAAAATCCTTTAAATCGTTCCAGTCTGTAAGGAGATGGGACTCAGCTGTTCTGTTCTGATTAACACATAACGGAGACATTTCTGATCGTTTTGGGCTCAATGGTTCCGGGTAGCAGGAGATCAGAGTGAATGAAAGACTCGACAGGAGTTTGGTTGGTAGTTTATTTAATGTCTTTATGTGCTGATAGAGCAGCTGTAGTTTAATTATAGCAGTAACAGCAAATGGTTTTACCATCCAACCATCCATCCATCCATCCATCCATCCTCCCATCCATCCATCCATCCATCCATCCACCCGTCCATCCATCCATCCATCCAACCATCCATCCATCCATCCATCCAACCACCCATCCATCCATCCATCCATAAATTGTGAGATTTTGTTTTCTTGCTCTTTAAAATCTGGCTCACAAACGTCAACAACTCTGGAAGTTCAAGTCAAAGTTTGGACTTTGACGTGAAGAGTTTGTTGAAACCAAGCAAACTTGCGTATGTGTGTGATTTACATGAACATATGGAAGTGGCAAAAATCTGATTCATTTTTATTGGGTGAAAAGATCGAAATGGAGTCGTTCAGGCTGCCGTGAAAAAGTCTTGCACAGGTTGGATTCTTATGCAAATTGGAATTCCAAAAATAAATCTGCCTAATGGAGGCACAGCAGTTATGAAAAACTCGAGTTTTTTGACAAAAAGTTTTTGCTCTTGGATGAGGTTGTTCCACAGCAAAGTGGATTTATTTTGAAAAACTGCAATGGAAACACTTTTCACGTCACACGAGTCACATGACCAATAACCAGATGTTACTACTGGTGGAAAAGATGATAGAAGACGAGGAGAAGTGGAAGGACAATGTTTTTTAATAACTTATTGCATGAACAAAAGTTTCTTGTTTAATGGAAACAGTAATTGCAAAACTGTGTTATTTTGACATTTCGCTCACATTTTGTAATGGAAACTAATGAAGTGGCATTTGGCTGTGGAAAACGGAACCAGTTAAGCTTTGTTGGATAAATCCTACATTAAAATAATGACAGTATATTCTAACATCTTGTGTATATTAAGTTTTAGCAGCTGAGTAATTATTTCATGAACTTTAAGGGCTGAAAGGTCGTTTTGACCTCAACAGACTGGATGAGAGGAGAGACGCTCAGTTCAGACCCGTTTGCTTCTGTTCCAGAAAGGAAAAGGACATTTTTATACCCAGCAGGTTCAAAGATGGAGGTTTGGTCATTGATGCGGCGCAACGATGCATCAAAAATTAAATTCACTTCAATGGGCCGATTGAACCCAGACTGGACGTTTCAGGTGTTTCATCCATTGATTGGCGTTTGCTATTGGACAGAGAGCTGATGTTATGACTCACACCCTCATGGCTCGACTTAACATCGTTGATTATTTATTGCTATTTGCGATGATTGGTCTCCATGGCGACGCCATTTCACAACAGATAAGTGTGTTGCCCTTACATGAGGCTCTTTGGGGATGTGCATGGGTCACGCCACGTGTTTCCCATGACGCCACAGTGTTGGAAACGTGATTTTATTTACCTGATGTCAGGCAGATTTAAAACCACTTTTATTGATTCCAGTTTGAATAAAGTGAAGCATAATCCTGCTTTAATAAATCTGTTGTATATTGCATCTAAATTAATTTCTGATGTTGAATTTCTTTAATAAATTATCGCAATTTTTTATATCTATTTATTATTAAGGAAAATATACATTTAGTTAAACTTTAACAACATGAGTAGGTTGGTTAAGTAAAAACACTGAAAGCACTAATATAAAAACAAAAGAAATATGAAAACCTAATTATCTTGCTAAATTATTGAATAAATGGACAGATGATGTCAAATGCAAAGATATTTATTATTTTTAATCTGTTAGATTATGACAGATCAGATCAGTTTGGTGTAAAGTTCAGCTTTATGGAGCTTCTATAGAAATGCTCACTAACATTAGCATTAGCGTCTGCTGCTACATGGTTAGCATTGAGATGCTATTTTAGGCTTCATTAGCTTCTCCGATAGGCTAACTCCTGTTAGCACAATTTGAACACAACAATAGTCTTTCCAGGGTCCAATCAGATCATTTCTGGGTGGAGAAATTAACCCCCAGTGAGACAGGAGTAGCAGCTTTCACCGCTGTGGTTAGCGGACGTAGCTTGTGCGTCAGATTTACGGGCGTACCATGAACACAACACAAAGGTTCCAGCTGGAACATTATAGCTTAAAGTTTAACATGAAAATAAGTTTAAATTATCCTTCAGTGTTAAAGTAATAATGTGGAAAAAAGAAACCTGACATTTTGAAGTGGCGTCTCATTCGTCACTCAGCCGATGTAAATATGGCCGACCTGAACCGTCACTGCAGAGCTGAGAGGAACCAGCAGAGGAATTATGGGAGAGAGCGAGGGATCGCCCCGGAGGAGTAATCCCCAGGCCATCTGCTCTCTCTCTCTTTACCTCTCTCTGTATCTGTTTCTCTCCCTTTTTCTCTCATTTGCTCATTCTTTCTCTCGTTTCCTTTTTCTCTTGTTCTTTTGCTGTTTCGTTCTCTATTTTTTGTTCTCTCTTCCTTTTTCATTCTTTCTCTTTTTTGTTTTGTTTCTTTCATTCTCTTCTCTCGTTCTTTCCTTTATTTCTTTCTCTTTTGTTTGAACTTTGTTTCTCTCTTGTTTAGTTTTGCTTTCTCTTTATTTCCTATCTCAGGTCAAATCATGATTTATATCAATGAAATGCATTGTAACACATTTCTTCTCTGTAGCGATTAACTGCTGACTTATTAGACATTAAAAGGTGAAACTGTTTAATTCTCCAGGTTCTTATAATCATTAACATCTCAGCAGGTTAATCTGCATTTTCTGCATTATGGCTGGAAAAACAGCAGCAAAGAACGACCCAAAGTTACCGATTAAATCAGTTGATGCAGATCTTTTTGCACCACTATGGTGCTCCGTTTTTTCCACATTAAAGTTTCTCTGCCTGCTTATTTACGTCAGTGGAACGAAAGAAACGGTTGCAGATTTCTCTGCATTTTTGCCCCTCCATTAACTCATTCTACCTGTTGTCATCAGTGGAGATCATGTGAGGTTTCAGTCCTTTTTGCTAATTTTTGTACTTCCAGTTGGATTTCTAAAAACAACAAAAACGCTTGGAAAAAACAAAACAAAAAAGAAAACACCAAGCTGTTTTTTTTTTGTTTTTTTTTTGCCAAAAAATGTTTTTTGGTGTCTGGAAAATAAGCCATTTCAAAAACCTCCTAATGTAACGTCACTGCCCGTTACCTAGCAACCCCAGTAGAATTCCACCCGTTACCTAGCAACCCCAAACAGGCATTTTGGGTTGGCCAACGTGGCCAACAGCAGGTTGTTTGGATTTAAAGTGACAAGGTGCCATAAAACAACTAAAATCTCATTATATAAGAATTATTTTTGTGTAAAATATGTAATGAACATGTTTTGTTTAGGCCATAAACCCATCCTAACCTGTTCAAGGAAGCACAGTGGGTCGCTCAGGGCACTAACTCGGAGAGGATGGAAATATGAAGCATCATTTAGTGCGATCCCTCTGTTCCCATCTGGCATGTCAGCCTGCAGAGGTTTAACACACAACCCTACCACAGCAATCAGCACTAATCCCCAACAAAGCTCCTCAAAATCCCATAAACGCTATTGTATGGATGCATCAGGGGTAAAGATGGCAGGTCTGATAAAAAATAAACAAAATGAAGCAAAAGTCTCTTTTTTTCCCCTGTTGCTGTGATGTTTGTTTACCAGATGTTGTGTTTTGTGCTGCAGCTGTCTCAGCTTATGTTTCATGATTATGTTGAAGTTTGGGTGGTGATGAAAGGCTGGCCTTAATTCCCAGGAATGAAACGATAAAATCAGGATAAATTCTGAAGAAGAAAATCAGGCAGACATTTCCAGTTCTGAGTCAGACTCCATTTGGACGCATTAATGCCACTTTTCTTCATTGTAGCTCTTCTGCTTAAAGGCTCTTAATTCTGAGGAACAGCTGATATTATTGGATCTGATCTTATTTCTGGTGGAAAAGTCTTTCTGTGGAGGATCCAGGAGTTTCTTCTACATTTTAGCTAAATACTCTGTCTTTTGTTTTTCGTTCATTTATGTTTTATGCAACATACAGTTTAAACTAGATGTTTACAAACTTCACAACAACCATTTTGTTTCCCATGTCTGACATGAAATCAGACGAAACCTGGTATTTTTATAAAGAATGAAAAATCTGAGTTTTCTAGGTCTGAAATAAATAAAGAATAATTATCTAATATTTCCTTTTTCTGTCTTTTCTCCAGTGAAAAAAGCCAAACTTCAAGGAGCACCAGGTAAGGACTTTCAGCTTTAATAAAGAATCAAAATGTTTCACATTTTACACATAAAAATCAAGTTGCGCTCAGTTTCTTCTTCTGAGGTTTTTCTGTTGTTTCCCTCAGTAGTTCTTGGTGCAGCGCCCCCAACAGGCGAGGAGGGGAACTGTTTTTTCAATTAGTTTGGTTCGTTTGACTCAATGCAAAGTGCAAATGAAACAAGTGTTACAATTTTCATCCCCTCTGGAATCAAATCTGCTCGACTATGAGCTGTGAAAACTCCCTTAGAAAGCATCTAGAAGTTGTGTCACTGAAGCTCTCGAGGTCTAGACTTGGCCACACCTGCTCTAAAAGCTCTTAATTAGTGCTGATTACCTTAAAGTAGGTGTTGTTGGATGTTGGCCACCTGCAGGTTTCTCATTTAGGTTAATCGGTTACATCCTTGCGAGTGAGTGAAAGCGGGTTGATGATGGATTAATCCTGCGTCCTTCAGCTGCAGCCAGGTGAGCTCAGCTCCTGGGAGCAAATCCTCGCCCAACCTGAAGCCCGGCGACATTCAGAGAGGAGCAGCCAGGAGCTCCAAGTGGAAGTTATGATGTTTGACTTGCATCGATTGGAAACTTGATCATCCCTGCAGATGTTTGCATGTGCTAAGCTTCTACTTCTTCTTCTGCTATAAACTGCACAGCCTTCCTGTCCCAGAGCAAACATGAGAGATAACTCTGCTAATCCAGCGGCTCCCTGAGGTGTCAGGTTATCACAACAGACTCTTCTTTTAAGGAGTTAAGCCTTGAAACACTGTAAATGTTAGTTTTGTTGCTAAGCGTTTTGCATTCAAAGATGTTTAATATATTTTCTAGAGGTGCTCAGTGATGCAGATTTAGAGAAGTTAAACAGTGAAATGTTTGCTTTATAGAAATACAGTCAGTCCTACATTCATTAAATGCAACTTAATAAATAAAATTAGCAGCAAAAAATGATTTTACTTGTGAAATTTGATGTAGAAAGTAAAACTTATGTTTTATATGAATTCATTCTAAACAGACATAAAAATAAAGTCTTTGTCAGTTTTGATTGTTATTACATACAGCTGAGTATTGCAGCATATTAACGGAAAGTTGAGTGGAAGGAAATTAAGTATACTGGACTTGTTTAAGGATTGTGAAGTGACGTTCAGTCAAAAGTTTTCATAGAAATACTTTGTGAATGTCAAACGGACCAGAAACCGCTCCAAAAGCAGGGAATTCTGGGTAAATACAACCAAAACAAACATGCTAGCTAGCCAACGCTAGCTGTGTTTTTTTTTTTTTACAAATGACAAAAGAGAAATCTTCAAACCATTAAAATTTGACTCTACTCCATTTTTGTTTTCATTTTGTGAAGAAGGAGGTTGAGCTCAGTGTCTTCAGAGGTTTTTGTGTTGTTTCTTTTGTTGGTTCTTGGTACAGCGCCCCCACAGGCGAGGAGGGGAACAGGTTTTTCAATTGGTTTGGTTTGTTAGTCACAGAGCAAAGTGAAAGTAAACAGCAGCAGCTGAAAATGTAACAAATGTGGCAACTTTGGTCCCAAATCAAGCCAAATCTTCTGGACTATCAGGTGTAAAACAGATTTACTCTCAATCTGCTTATCAGAATTGCTGACTCTGCCTTTTTTCCCTGAGTCGTAGTTTTCATCCATTCAATCCCAGAACTGAACAATATTAGTGATTCTTGGCGCCATCCGTCTGCTGCCGTCCCTCTCTTTCGTCATCATTTCCTCGTCTTAATCTTTATTTGCTCTTCTTAAGCAGACGTGAGATTTTGGAAGACAATCTAACGTTTACATAAGGTTGGTCTGAGGAATGTTTGCATTGTGCTGCAGCCACACCTGCCTGTCTTTTCCACCTGGTTTTGGGTCATGTGTTGTTCCTGAACACGCCGGTCCGTTTGGATCAGAGCGTGACCTTGCCCGGGCCGCCGGCCAGCTGCCTCTGTTTCCACCGCCTGCTGCAGGAAACCGCGGCTCGATAAGGAAATATTCAGCAGCTGTTGGTGTTTTTCTTCTTCTGTTTTCCCACTGAGCCTCATTCTTCTCCGTTAACAGAAATAATTCGGACTCAGATCAGATATTTATGAATATAAACAGTTTAGATCCTCTTGGTGACAGCAGAGGTTTGACTGCGTCCGAATTGGAAATGTCAGTTTTCCGACTGCCTGAGTTTTTCCTCAGTAAATTATTGGGAAAAAAACTTGATCAATAATAAATGAAGACATTTGACTGAAGCCTCGGGCTGCGTGGGAGGTTTATCTGATGACTGATGTCTGCTCTCTCTAAACATCGTCCTACGGTTGTAATCCCTCCGTGCGAACAAGCAGCAACTGCAGCTCCGCTTAATAATAAAACAAAAACACATTTTAACTTCTTATTTAAGTCACAATAAAAAAAACTCTTTCATTTTCATGACACCAGATTTGTTACTTAGGATTAAGTTGAGCTTTTCATCATGTAATAGTCTTCAGTTTTGGACATTTTGGCTCAACAATAAACTATTTTCACTGTAAATTTTTTATTCACTTTCAACAAAACTACACAAATTAAACTGGTGTTCTTCAAATGTTACATTTTCTAAGATTAAACGGTTTTTTAGGCATTAGCTGGTTTGTAGTTACACAAAAACAATCCTGAGCTGAAGAAATTGGAATATTATTAAACAGTAAATTTATTTCAGTTATTTAACTCAAAAAAGTGGTACGTATGGAAACCTAAAAGTGCCATAATTAAGCATTTCCGTTTAACTTTTAGACATGTTACTCCTTCAACACACCTGAGGTTGTTGGATTTAAAGTGACGAGACGCCATAAAACAGCTAAAATCTCATGTGATGAAGACGTTTTGGTTAGCCTGTAAACCCATCCTAACCTGTAGTAACAGGTTGTCTTTAATGAAAATAGTCCCACATTTTTTGATTTTGTCCAAATAGTTATGTTTCCATCTAATTGTGAGCTTTTAAAATGTCAGAAAAAGGAAAATAAATGTGTATTAGGTGTGTTTCCATCCATTGGTTTGGGGCGAATCATCCAGACTATGCAAGGCGTGAATTCAAACGAACAGAAACCTTTTCTCAGTTTGGTGCCTCTGGTAAGGCACAGAGCCACCAGTGGTTGGGAAAGTTCGCTACGTCAGAACTTATTCAGCTAACGGGTCTGAATCTTTAACTCGTTTTCGTAAAAAAACAAAAACCATCTAAAGTGAGCAAAACTTTTTTTTTAGTCATTTAAGAATTAGTTGTTTCCATCAATGAAATGGCCATTAAAACCCTTGATGGAAACACAGTTAGTGACTCATTTGCTGCAGAAGGAGTTGCATTTTGACTGGTCAGATGGACGTTTTGGTTTTTTCCAGGCGGATTTTGCTGCTCCCTCCTTAACAGAGCAGATTACATCAGCTGGATGGTTGGCGGCACCTGCTGTAAAAAGGCCCACAGCCTCTAAACGGCTGTTATCTAATCCATACATCCTCTTCCTGTTATCTGGTGCAGGCTGGAGTCGGCCCAAGTGAGGCACAAGGCATGAGCGATCTAATTAGGGACGGGCCGGAGCGTCCCCCAGGCTGCGTGTTGCTGCTACTGTCCGCTTCGGACGCTAATTAGGTTCATATTCTGTTAAAGTCGCCTGGTTACCTTCACAGCAGCTTTTGGTGTTTAAATATTATTTTTTTTAAGCTTTCCTCTCAGTAAAGTGGTGTCTGGATCTTCTTCCAGTGTATCTATCTGGCACCAGGGCAGGGTAAATGTTTTGGGGTGTTTCCGTGGCAACCAGGAACATCTTTGCTTAGTGCAGTCATGGGAGCAACAGCTGATTGTTGGCTTTTGTTTCCCAAAAACCAAAAGGTGGGTCTGATTAAACCTGGCTTTACCTTTACAGTCTGATCCCTGGGCAGAATATTGTTTTTATTTTAATAACTTGAGACCCAAACTAAAAATGCTCATTTTAAACTTTAGACACCAAATATACTGTAACATGCATTAATACACACAGTGGAAAACATCTTGGCTCTACCACTGAAGCTAACATCCTCTGATTTTATTATCTCCACTTTTAGAGAATCAGCCAATCACAGCCAAGGAAAAATGAATGCCACAAGCTGATTGGCTGCTTTGTAAATGCCAACCTATAGCGTGTCAACTAGCATTGATGCTAGGTGTCTTAGCTTCCCAACTTGCTTTATATTTATAATATATAATTTTCCAGACACCAAATAGCATTAACTTATTGAATGTTTTTTTGTTCCTTTAATTTTTAGAAGCAGTAGAAACCAAAATGGAAGAACAACAATGTGCAAAACAGTGAATTTCATATAATATGTCTGTTTTAAGGAATAAAACTTTTTACAATCCAGGCTAAAAACTCACCTGCTTTCATATATATGTCATATAAAACACTTTGAACTGCCGGACAACAAATATACACGTCAGGTTCTGCAGAAACTACTGAAGCTAACATTATATTACAGATATACAAGAAAAAACATTTAAGTAAACAATCCCTTTAATTCTTTTTTGTTTTTAATCAATCACGTTTATTTGTGAAACACATTTCAGCAATAAGATTAATCACCAGAATTATTGATTACTAAAATAATCATTAGCTGCAGCTTTACTTCTATCATAAAATCCTGATAAAACAGCTGGATGATGCAGGTTTTTATCAGTTCAGGTTTTTCTGCTCCTGTTAGCCACATGCTCCCCGTCAGAGCGGCGAGTAGTAGGAAACGGCCAGCAGCTGTGAGCGGGATGCTGCTCCCCGCAGCCTGTTGCAGTCATCAGGAGCTCATGCAGCTCAGGCCTCCTAATCTCCTGCCCCTCCCCCAGCAGCAAACATCTGGCTGGCAGGAAGTCCACAGATCTCTGGGTGTGAAAACACACTCCGGCTCTCTGAGCTCGTCTCTGATTGGCTGGTTTTCTGAGTCGCTCACTTTGAACTGGATGGTTTCAGACAACTTCACCTTTGACCCAGGTGGATTTGAGTTCGGTTTTGATTGGGATTGGGGCTGACGGAGACCTTTAGCTGCACATCGACGGGTCAAGGGTCACCAGGAAACGGCCCAACATGGCCACAGACTGCATGGTTATGGTTTCCATGGAAACTGTGAGGCGTTCATGAGAGGAAGTGGTTGAGGCGGCGCAAGATGAACGTTTGGAGGCGAAAAGTTTGGTTCTGAGGAGATTAACGGGTCAGTGGCCTGGCAGAGGCAGAGTGATCTGCTTTCACTCTCAGTGGAACGACTGATCCTTCACCAGCTGATAACGGGACAGCAAAGCAGGCAGGTCAGGTCAGTTTGGGTCAGTTTGGTTCGGTTTGGGTCAGTTTGGGTCAGCTTGGTTCGGTTTGGTTCAGGTCGGGTCAGCTTGGTTCGGTTTGGTTCAGGTCGGGTCAGTTTGGGTCAGTTTGGTTCAGGTCGGGTCAGTTTGGGTCAGTTTGGTTCAGGTCGGGTCAGTTTGGGTCAGTTTGGTTCGGTTCAGTTCAACCAACAGGTAAAGGTGAGAGATTTAGAGTTTCACAATAAGAGTTCAGAAGAATCTGTTAGATCAGGAAACAGAATTCATCCATCCATCCATCCATCCATCCATCCATCCATCCATCCATCCATCCATCCATCCATCCATCCATCGTAATAATGGCCGACGTTGATATTTTCCATCCTTTTTGCCTCCGACAGGTTTATAGACTCTCAGCGATACTCGGATCTGTGGCTGATTATTCTTCTCTTCTCATTGTTACTCCACACAGAAATATTTCATATTGTTCTGTTTTGTTTCAGAGAAGTTCAACACCTACGTGACGCTGAAGGTCCAGAATGTTAAAAGCACAACCATCACGGTGCGCGGCGACCTGCCCTGCTGGGAGCAGGACTTCATGTTGTGAGTCACTAAACACGTCCACACATTTATCAGAAACCAAAACAAATGTTCACTTATTCTAAACAAACCATTTATCAGAAACAAACCTTCATTTATCAGAAACAAACCTTCATTTTTCAGAAACAAACCTTCATTTTTCAGAAACAAACCTTCATTTTTCAGAAACAAACCTTCATTTTTCAGAAACAAACCTTCACCAGGGGTCTGACTCGGCAATAAGAGACAATATGGCAGCAGCTCTGATACATGGTTTTTTGTTGACCTTTGACCTACTTTGGCAGTTATGCTGCAGCTGTTTATGCTGTGACTGGTTTAATTTTCTAAATTTTCCAATGGCGAAGCGTTTCCGTGGTGATGACATGGCCACCATGTTGGTTTGCCTTGCGTCATTGTTTGTCTTTGCTGCAGTGTTTGTTTTTCCAGACCTTCATCTTCACTGATGTGTCGCCCTGAAGTCATTCAGCGTCTGTCGGAGGCAAAACGTCGAGTTTCCAGCAACAAATCGGGTCAAATCCAGAAATGTATCCGTTATTTTCCAGGATTTTAATGAAAAACATTTTTTATTCTCAGTTCAGATTGTTTCTTTTTAATGAAATCCCGTTTTGTTTGCATGATCATACACACTAGAAGTATGAATGAAGTTATTCTGGAAAAAGAGAAGTTGAGGAGAGGAAATGGAACTGCTGCGTCACCCTTTCAAAATAAGAGCATGAATATAAACATTTTGCTACTTAAGGAATTCCTACTATTCATTAAATGCGACTGAAATCAGTTTTGTTCGACTAGCTTACGACTCCAAAACGATGTTAGCATCCCACTGCAACTCATTGTTTACAACAGTTAAAATGGCCGCCACCGTCTAATGATCAATAAGCTGAAGAACAATTAATTATGTCAATTTAATATCAGTTTAGCTATTTTAGGAAATATTTCTCAATAATGACTGCCGCTAATCCACTAATGATGGAGCTAATCTTTCGTTTAGCACGTTAGCATTTTTGCTTGAAACCCTTTAGCACACTTAGCTTCCCTGAAAAAAATCTTTCCAAATAATTTATAAAGTGCCAATTTGCTTTGTTGTTTTGTAAACAAAATGAAATCGGTGTCCGAATGGAAGATTTCATTTCAATTGAAGTCGGAGCTTTAGCATTAGCTTCCGCTAAGTACAGTGCTGATGTAGCTCATTTGCATTAGCATGTCTAATGTTTATGATTAACAGTTTAGTGTTAGCACAGCTAGCTTTTGGTTAGCAGTGCCCACTACTTATTAACCCTTCAGAATACATTCACTGAAAAACAATTTTTAAAGCTTTTTTCTTTAATTTTATTTTGTTACCTGATTATTTTTATGCTGTAAAACTGATATTGTCCTTATTGGTTATAAAAAGTCATTAAAGTTTGAGATTCTGTTAAATAATCTCAAACTTTTATTATACAGACCCATTCAGTAACTTATTGAAAACGTCGTTTATTTTAATGAAACACGTTACATAGATGAATTAGTCTCAGTCTGGTGTTTTCCAGCCCTTATTTCTATTAATTATGATGATTTTCCACTTGCAGTTAATGACAACTTGACATTTAAAATTAGAAAATTACATCAGACCTTTTAAAAAAACACTTCACATTATATAAACTTTGCTTAATACCATCTTAAATGTCTATTTGACAAAAGAGGCGAACCAGAGAGCATATTTTAATTTAAGTTTGGTAATTTCTCCAAAATGCTCGTCTGTTTTTTACAGCGATAATTTAATAAAACATTTTCAGTTGCTTCCTGAGATGCTGTTTGGCATTAAAATGTGAGTTTTCTGGTATTAAATGATAAAAATGTAAACTATTGGTTGAAGTCTCCCAGTTTGTCCCAGTTTGATGATGGGATCTGCTGTTTATTCGTCTCAGCCTTTATCTCTGCACCTGGCTGCTGCGTCCCAATTATCTGCTGCCTTTGATTATCTTTTCTCGCATCTTCCTTTTGTTGGCTCTCGATGGTTCTAAACTTCCACATGCAAATGTCCCAGTCATGCAGCTCCTTTCAGAGTGGAGGCCCCTTTTTTATGCTGCCATCAAGCCCTTTGAGTAGCATGTTGAATGAGACGAGCAGGGGTGGATTATAGCAGCTAAAACAAAACAGAAAGCATCTTTTGTTCCAGCCTGATGGTAATTATGTCGAGATTTCAGCTCTTTTAAATGTTTTTCCAAGCAACAAAGCTTCCCCTTCTTTTATCTGTGACATTTTCCACCCAGTGCGTCAGGAAAACATCAACATTTCCCAGTAATACAGCTGTTTCTGCCTTCCAGTGAGATCAACCGGCTGGACCTGGGACTCATTGTGGAGGTGTGGAACAAAGGCCTCATCTGGGACACCATGGTGGGAACGGCCTGGATCCCCCTGAAGAACATCCGCCAGTCTGAGGAGGTCAGGGCTCAAACTTACCTGGCAACAGATGACACCCAGAGACGCCGAATCCCGTCAACGATTTACTAAAAACCACAGAAACGAGTCACACAGATGTATATTAATGGAGAGGACAGCGGCTAATAGGCGCTACAGCTAGCTATAGCAGCTAATAGGCGCTACAGGTAGCTATAGCGGCTAATAGGCGCTATAGCTAGCAGCGTCATTGTTTAAGCTTCCTGAAACGACAGTGGCTGATGACATCACGGCGGTTTGGGTGAAATGTTTTATCGTATCTAATCACAGGAAGGTTCAGGCGAGTGGATCTTCCTGGACGCTGAGGTTCTGATGAAGGCTGACGAGATTTATGGCACCAAGAACCCGACGCCTCACCGAGTTCTGCTGGACACGCGCTTCGAGCTGCCGTTCGGTGAGTCTCACCTCACATAAAAATGTTCAAATGAATCTGTTTTTACAGTGTCTTATCAAACTGTTGATCCCAAATTAATTAATTGATTTTATTGATTAACCAAATTCTTTGTTTTTGAAGATTTAAGTTTTGGAAAATCTAGTAGTGATTTTCTTCTGTTTTTCTTTTTTTCTGTAATTGAACCCAAATGAATGTGTCACTTGGATCTTTCTTTTTAATTGTCACATTTTATTTTTTTGTATGAAATGCTGCATTTTACTTTATTAGTTTATTGCAAAATTAGCTTATTGCTAATATTATATTAATAAATCATTGATAATATTTGATTAAGATTCTCTGATAATTGTTTTAAATATATTATAGATTATTATAAATTATTGAATAAATAATTTATTGCTAATGTTTTATTAAAATATCTTACGTTCATGGCTAATATTATAATTGTTTATTGCTAATATTTTACTACAAATAGTTTGCTCATATTTTGTAAAAAAAAAAAAGCTAAAATTTTATGTAACAGTTTTGGTAGTTTTTATTTTTTTAAATGTTTATTGCAAATATTTTATAAAAATATTTTTTTATTAAAAATGGTTTGCTAATATTTTATTCAATTTTTGCTAACAATGTAATTAATTGTTCACTTCTAATATTTTATCAATAGTTTTTTGCTAATATTTTGTAGTATTTTTAGCTTAAATCTCTTCCTGAGTCGTATTGAAATTACTCCTTTTCTTTTACATAACAAAAATATGCAAATGTCCCATCTAGATGAAAGCACATTTATATGCTAACGGCCTAGTTAAAGTCCAGACTTAAATACAATTTTTAAAAAATCAGCATCAAAACAAGAATATTAATATATTTGGAAACGTCTCAGTTAAAATCTACCTGATCTTGAGCTGTTTCTGGGAGAAACATGTCGGTTTCTAATGCAGGAACAACATATTGACATGGATTACAGAAAATCTCACATTTTTTATCTTTTTTTGGGCAGCGTCCCATTTTTATCGTGTCGTGGTTTCATCTTGTCGTGGTTTCATCGTCTCGTGGTTTCATCGCGTTGTGGTTTCATCTTGTGGTTTCATCGTGTTGTGGTTTCATCGTGTTGTGGTTTCATCGTGTTGTGGTTTCCT